GATGTCTGTGTATTCTTATTTACGACCTGCTTTGTATCTTAGTAAGTCTCTTAGTGATAACCCCATATTTATAAGAGGAGTAACAATAACAAGATTTCAAGGTGTCCAAAAAGTGGCACCATGTCATACAAGACCAACTAAATTTTGGGAAGATTGTATTGAGTAGTTTCATGGCAATCCTCCATGTAGTTTAGTAAAAGTAGAGATAACCAACTTATGTTAATGGGTGGAGGGATTGCAATGACAACATGCCATCATATTAGCTCTTCTGGTATATGACCAGTAAAAAGTGTGAGAACACTGATTTGACAGTATGTGCATCTTCAGATGATGACCATAACCATAAGTTTCATGGCAATCCTTTGATACTATAAGACAAGTTGAATCCATAAGATTCCTCCATTCATTACATCAAGCTTAAAGTGGTAAGGGTAATAACTCTTACCAAAACCTGCATGAGAACTGTGATTTGTCATTATGCATATTTTCTGATGAGAACCAAAATAAATACAAACTTTAAAGCCAATTTGCTGAAATCTGTGAGACTAGTTGTAAAGAATTTCCATACAACCTACTATTGTCTGCTGCAAATTATAACAGCAACCAAAGTTTCCTTTTATTTTCTTGGCCAAAATAATTGGAAATCTGGAAGGATACAAGTGACAACTTACCATCAAAGGGGTTCACTGATAAAGAAGCAGTGCAGCCAGCTATAAACCCAGAGATGAAAGAATGGTAAAACACAGCCTGGTTACTGCCTTCACGTCGCTTGCCCTGCAAAATATGATCAGATGATAGCAATTAACCTTTTCACCAACATGTAGATTACATGAGAAAAATGTCAAAATTCCTACAAGAGGTTTCAACACACCACACATGTATCAGTGAAAACACTGTACATTACATCACTGCTTTTTGCATGTGAATGCAGACATTTAAAAAAATTATTGTTACTTCAAAACAAAACAAAAATTCTTTTTTTTTTTCATAAACAATAGGCAGGTATTTCAAGACTGTCATGGAATAAGGCAAGAAAATAATTTGATATGCTTGAAGAATAATTTGGTTAATTGAGGGTGGTTCATTTTAATTTGTGTGACTGAACAATACAGGCATATTGTCGTAGGTGGCTCACAGTGAGATACTCCTATATCATGGTGTGCACAGATGCTAAAATTACCTCTGGTTGTGCACATAATTTGGGGTATTTATAGGAGGCTCCTTGTTCTATGTGACACAATGATCGCTTGGATCATGTCAGGGAATGTCAACACTCTTACTTCCAACTACAGCCAAATGCTTCTCCTTCAATTTACTGCCTTTATTTGTTATTCTTTGGGTTTAATAAACAAGAAAAGCTGTCAGTCTGTTACAATTTATCACTAAGGGATTTATTTGACATAAAACAATTTAGTAACATGTATTTATGGATTTTTTCTCTGTACATTCTTTGTTTCAAGTTAAGAGCAGCGTTTATTTATAGCTGTATGTATGGATGGATGGACAGATAGATCAACTAAAAGAACCAGGATGGTGAGGCCATGATATATAGTGTGGCAGTGAAGCCAATTCAACTGACAGTGTATCAGTTTCATGATGGGAATTGTTGAATATGGACACATAATTCTGGAAAAGATTGAGAAATTATAAAATAAATTCTCAACTCTTGAATAAGGATCATTATGTTATCTGTATGGATGGATTATCTGTTATATGGATTGATGGATGGATGGAGAGACAGATATATGGGCTAGAAGAACCTAGATGGTAATGCTATTATCCAGTGTGGCAGTGAAGCCAATTCCACTGATATTGTATCTATTTCATGATGGAACTGTTCAATATGGGCATATATTTCTGGAGGACAAGGGATTATGATATAAATTCTCAACTCTTGAATAAAGACCATTATGCTATGTAATGTATACAAGGACACATGGTTGTGAACCATATTTAATTTTCATTTATATCACATGGTTTTGTGAAACATACTTACTTTGTGGCATATTGTTGTGTGAATCATACTTATTTTTTTTTTATTGTATCATATGGTTTTGTGAATCAATCTTATTTTCTTTGGTATCATAAATTTGTGTTAACCATATTCATTTTTTTTGATCTTACAATTCTGTGAATCATACTCATGTTTATTCATTTGTATTGTATAATTCTATAAATCATATTCTTTTCATTTTGCATACTGTGGATGTAAGAATGATACTCATTTTTGTAATACATATATGAATTTGTAACACATTCAGTATGGTAGTCATATATTATATGTAGATGGGTGGGTCTGAGAGTCAATTTGTGTAATTTGAAGTGAACATTTGTCTTTTTTGCTTCTTTCATACCCTCACACTGTATTGCATTATTATTTAATCTAAGCATACATTCAGTTTCACTATAATTACAAAGACACAACATCATATGAAATAAATTTTTTAAAATACTGTTTTATTAGTAAAATACTGTTACAGTGATTTCATTGCAAGTCATAGCAAAATTTATGCTTATCCTTTAGCAGACCTTTAAGCAGACCTACCAACCCTAACAAGACTTTCTCAGTAAGGCAGTCAATATTTATCCATAAGTCGGATCAACTTTCAGTAACGTGTAAAGAAATGTCATCAACTGATATTGTCAAGTTAGGAAATATGCTTTAAAAAATTCAGAAGTTTAATCGGAGACAGATGCATTAATGATAAACATTATGCTCAAGTTAAACGTTTGCAAAGTACACTTAAACCTTAATTACCTTCAGTAAAGTTTCACAAAGTGCAGTACCAACCCTTATGGAGCCCAATGGCTTCATGCTGTTTCTCAACTTCATATAATTCTTGGATGGTGCTTTTTCTATTTCAAGTGAAGATGGCTATCTTTTTTCTGTCCAAAGACATACTCAGATCAACACCTTATGTCCAATACACCTATCTGATGCCATTCCTTTTTTTCTGAATATTGCTTTTTATTCTTCTGGCCAGATTTAACTTTTTAAGAGGCTTATTGCCCCATTTGGTCTGAATATGAATCATTTGTTGGACACCATATTTAGAAAATTCTATAAGCAACAGCTTGATGATACAGATGTTATGCAATGAAAAATTATTTGCAGTTTAAAGCATCTGAGATAATCCTGTCAAGTTAGTATTGTTCCATGACCAACTCCAATAATATATAATACGAAACACAGATCTGATCAAACATTATCTGGACTCTACTGCAACAATCATATTTCTGTAAATTAATCCATAATTTCATATCTGAAGAGTCATTTCTATAACACTAATGACAAAATTGTAAGGATTGGTCTGCAAGAGGCCAATTAGGGAATTTTAAGTTCACTTTGGAACTCACTTCAACATGACAAACCCTAACTGTAAAGCTAAGATTTTCATCCATTGAGTGCATCTTTTGCTTGGTTTCATTCCATCCTTCATCATGTGTGTAAATGATCATGATAAACCACTAATTAATGTTATATACATTAAATATGTTACTTACCTAAAAACATTTAAAAAGTATTCAAATGAAATAAACTGACTCGACATATAATTCCTAGCTCCTACACATGCCTTTTAACTTTTTTTATTCTACTCTCTTTACTTTATTTTACAAAAATAATCAATTACATGTAATTTGAAAGCATTAAGCAGGTCAAATTTTACATGACTGTAACAATGCAACAACACTTATACAAATTGGACATCAAAACATAATTGGTGCTTGCAGAAACATTTACAACATTGCTGTGACAATCCATTGATACTTTTAACATCTGACTATAAAAGGGCATATTGCATTTAAAATGACAATACTAAAATCAAATTAAAAGATAAAACTGAAACATGAATTTCATTTAATGAGACCATTTTAATTAGTGTATATTTTGTCAAGTGTTGTCACCATCAGGCATCACTAATATTTTAAGTCACTGATATATTGTTCTTTACATACTGATAATTTTTATTGCAAGAAAATTTAACAAACGACAGGACTTCTAAATGTAAGTTGCAAATTTCACAATGCTGGTTCAAATTTTCAGGCACTAACCATATTTATTGAGGACAAAAAACAAGAGATTCATCTACCAATTTTAATTAAAATTTTTTTTAACATTTAACAAACAGGAGCCTATTTTGGGGTATGTTTAATAACAAAAAAATGGGATCCCTTGTAGTATAAGTGGGTTCTTGAGTTATCCAGATGCAATGAAACAGGGAAGCAGTGAATGTACTGAATTGTAACAATAATCCTAAATTTACCACATTTACAGTGTGATTACCTTTGAATTCAAATGTGAAAATAATGGGAAGTAGATAGCAGAGAAAGTAACATCCCTTAGAAGTGTTGCTCCACAACCCTGATATAAACCAAAGACACCTTTCTCCCGCAACAGCTGCAGCGTGATCTTTGTAGCAGAAAGGCGTGGAGCAGCAGTGGTTGTTGCTCCATTTACAGATCCTGTTGTGGTTGCTGTAAGGTCAACTCGCACTGTTGAGAAAGGGAAGACAATACGATGGAGTTCCTATTATCTGAATGTTGGTTCATATGAACTGTGCATTTGCTTAACATTTAACAAACATTTCAATATAATACAAGAAATGATTTAATTATTGGAGCTTCACAATATTGGAATCACTCTCATGTCCCTTGTTCAGATCTGGTAAATCTTCAATCCAGTAGCATGCATATATATATATATATATATATATATATATATATATATATATATATATATATATATATATATATATATATATATATATATATATAAAAGCTCAAGAAATAATCATTGGCATGCATTCACAATATATATGCTTCTCATGTGTGTGTGTGTGATTTGGATTTTTAACATAGTTTTAACAATTGTTCTGTCATATTACTACAATGTCTTCAGTGTGGCAGTTGATAGTGATGTCTAGTACCGGGATGTCATTCCACAGACATGTAACATGATGTCCAACCAAGTCACATCATCCTGACATAAGTCTTTGGTATGACTTTGCTGGGGATCGAACCCACGACCTCCCTCATCTGAGGTGGACACTATAACAACTAGGCCACCATAGTGGTCTTCACATGACATTTTATGTCCAGTATAACAAAACTGGTAACTGAAATGTTTTTGAATTGAACCTTCAGGAAGGTTTCAGACATGAAATGCTTGGTAACAAATTCACTACATGTTATCTAATTTTAACCTTAAGGAAGAAAGTTATACTTAGGTCTATTGAAGAGATTCGGTTAAGAGTGTTTCCATATCAAGATCATGTTGTGTACATAGGAAATAATAAAAATGAGGGTGTTATCCAACTTCGCTTGCTTAAGGAAGTTTATAAAACCAATGCCCTGAATTAGGTATATCAATGACAAAAATAAAAATTACGATATATTTTACAACAAGAATTAAAAAAAAAAGACTTTTGAAAAGGGAAGTACTGAATAAGTCATTTAATTAGCAAATTTCCTTGATTTAAGAAAAGCACAAGACTATGCATTAGCTACTAACATAGGTAATCTTAAGATGGGGTTAATAAAATTTGAAAAGCAATTTTGTTTGCCATTTATCTGAAATTGAAAAGATTAAAATAATTTCTACCAATTAAAATATTAAAATATTTTCCCCATATAGAAAACAGTTCACTGTTTCCAAATTTCACATAAAGCTTGACAGTCATCATTGTTGCTTTCAAGATAAAAGATCTTTTATTGCATGTTTGTGTGTGTGTGTGTGTGTGTGTGTGTGTGTGTTATTTGGATTTTTAACTTAGTTTTAGCAATTTTTCAGTCATATCGCTATGTCTGCAGTGTGGCAGTTAATTGTAATGTCTAGTATGGGGTTGTAATGCCACAGACATGTAGCATGATGTCCCACCCAGTCACATTATCCAGACACTAGGACAGCCAGTCCTAACACTAACCTCTTAATGCTGAGTACCTAGCAAATCAGCTGTCAGTACCATTTTTATATGTCTTTGGTATGCCTTGGCCATGGTTCAAATCCACAACCTCCTGCATCTGAGGTGGACACTTTAACCATTAGGCCACCAGAGTGGTCCTTTTATTAGGGAAAAAAAAATGCAGAATGGATTATTTTGTATTGAGAATATGTTTATGAATTTCACTGTTGCAAATGTCATAACAGTATATTAAAGTCTCTTTTTCTTGTATCTTGTTTAACATCTGTTTTTGCATGAAAATATTTTTGATCTATTGGTACAACAATATTCTTTATATAAAACACTGTGCTGTAAGTCAGTCTATTGTAACTGCTGTAATTGTATATACTTTGTACACCTTAGTTAAATTCAACATCTTAAACTTTTTAATCATTGTGATGAGTTTAGACTCAATATGTATATATTTCTGTTACTGCATGTTGATATTTCAAATGTTCAACAAAACTGTTCTACAACAATGTAAACCTTGAACAATGTGTGGAAATATCTTCAGCAAATTATACCCTCCATCTTTAACACTGTATGGTAACCAAGTATACTTAAGTGGAAACAAAAGGGATGATTGAAGTGTGTACAGTTAATTAACTCTCAATATTTAAATGCTGTGTGTTAACTGAGTGAAACGTTAGTGGAAACCAAAGGGTTGTGTGTGCAGTTAAACTAAACCTTTCCCTCATAGAGTGTATGACCTTTTAGCCCTTCAATATGCATGTAGCAAAGTTACCCAGTGCAGTGCGCTACACATAGGCCTGTTAAGCAGTGATGTGTATTTTATGTTTAACAGCAATTTTAACCATTGAACATTTCTGGTACACATGTATGGCAAAATTTAAGAGTAAAATATAGTCATTATAGCTGTATAATTAGTTTTCACAAAAGAATTTTGTATGTGCATTAAAATCTTGAGAGAAATTGTTCACCATCAAGTCAGTGAAGCCGCATGACCAACTGTAGCTGACATTTCTTATACTCAAAATTTACAAGTTCTTTGCCTGCATCTAAATCACTAAATCAACTGAATTTGATAATTTATAAAAACTAATGGCTTCCTACATCAGTATCAGAGCCTTTACCCAAGTTATTGAAGCTTTCATAGTTGTCATTCTAATCATGAAAACTCGAGCAAGTACTGAATGATTAACTGCGTCAGCCATTTTGGAGAGACACGGTTACAACTTACTTACTTTAAATAGCAGATTTCGACCAGAGCATAAACAGTGACCACATGATTTGACGTAATGGTCATTCACATCAATGAATGTAGTATCTAATAGGGGGTTACCCTGAAGGTGGAGTTTCAAAAACCCACTCACAATGGCTGTTGTTTACAGAGGTGCTAAAAGGCGCTTGTATGCAAATCAGGTAGAGGTGCCAGAAGGTGCCTTTATGTGAATGCGGTAGAGGTGCCAAAAGGCGCTTGTATGACGTAAAGGGTTAACCCTCAATCTTTAAATGCTGTGTGTTAACTGAGTGAAGTGTAAGTGAAAATCTAAGGGATGAGTGGAAGTATTCACAATTATTTATACCCCTAATCCTTAAACACTATGCTAATGGAGTGAACTGAAAGTGTGAGCCAGATGAGTGGAAGCATGTGTAACTGCTCCTGAGGCCTAGTGGTTAGAATGTCTGTCTTGGATACAGGAGGTCGTGGGTTCAATCCCCAGCTGAGTCATACTGAAGACTTATATAAATGGTACTAACAGCTGCCTCAATTAGTACTCAGCATTAAGAGGTTAGAGTTAGGACTGGTCGGCCTGTTGTCAGGATAATGTGACTGGGTGGGACATCATGCTAGATGTCTGTGGCATAATGCCCCAGTGCTAGACATCGCTATAAACTGCCAAACTGCAGACATTGTAACAATATGACTGGACAATTGTTAAAGCTGTTTTAAAAATCCAAATCACATACATGGAAGTATATGCAATTAATTATGATTTGTAGCAACCATGGGAACCTTAAAAATTGGTAACCTATGACAAGTAGCAAATTAACATTAATATAAATGACTTCAGGTTTCAGTGATAAGTTAAATATTACATACCTGTGACAGAACCAGGATTTCAAACCAGTAGATTTACAAATTTTTGATCAGGAGATTGGCTTCTAAAAAAGGAGAATTTTTATTGGCATAAATTTTACGTGTTTTAAGGGAATTGAATACAAAGCAAATTCAGTTTGTCACAAAAAATGTATTTTTTTCGTATTACAATACAACACACAATTTATACATGATTCGGATTCAGAATCTGATAGAAAATGTTACCAGCAAAGATTTTTTTTAAATACAATCCACAGGCATTTTAGTTTCCTTCAGTTGTGTGTGTGTGTGCAGATTATGAACCATGTCACTTTGTGTTGTAGATGGCAAATAGGTATTCTTGAATAGTCTTTTTCATTTTTACGAATAAACTCAAGTGCCTGTAATTACAAATGCTGATTAGTTGGATTATAATTTTTACAGAATAACAAGGCAACTAATAATTATTTATTACTGCTGAAGACCAAAAAAACATGTACAGTCAAACCCGGTTATCTTGATTATATCGGGGGTGTAAAAACAATCATCAACATAACAGGGTCCTAAGATATCCAGCTGCATTAAAATCGGTAACTTAATTTTAAAGATGTCTTTGACCATTACTCCCGTCTCTTGCTCTTACATTTACTGGAATCCCCTCCCACTGCATGTTACAATAAAATATACAAAATGCTTAATTGATAATAAAATGAAAGAAACAAACCTGATGTTTTCATATATTCCTTTTTTTTTATCAATCATGAGTAATTTATTAAAGAAAAAATATATGAACTCCCTATATCATATGTAGTATATGCATCCATACTGTTGTGTGAATCACTTTTGTCAGATAACACACAACACATTTTATAATTAATGTAAATATTGAAAAAGAAATTATGTTTGGCTGTAGTCATAGGTTTCAATATGTTATACTGACTGAAAAATGGATCCAAGAAAATCACAAACGAGAAAGAGTGAGAGAGAAAATCAACAGAATTCTGTGAAATTTTCAAAACCAGTAGATTTTGACTACTAAATGGTATGTGTGATAGACGGTCTTTAAAACGGTATTTTTGGTCTACCGCCGGTAGAATCACAGGAATGATATTATATGAATCAAATGGAGTTTGTTGAGGTATTACATTCATGAAAAAGGAATTTAACTGAATTGGGACATATCAGAATGTCTCATATAGTCTCCTATTGACAGATGGAAAGCAAAGATCAGCATAAGGGTTTGCTGCTTTTATTCACTGGAACACAAATTTATGATTGTTTTATTTCATGATTTAGTACAAATGCTAAAAAATTAACTTGTTTCAGATTAAGAATAAATGCAATTCAGCTGCAAATGGTCATACAAACAGGTTATTATGGCACAAAAAAGTTTATAACATCACTATAATGCAATCTGATGAATTATCACAAATCATGTGACTTCATGTCATCCAATCAAAAACATCTCTCACTGTAATCATGTAATAACCAGAAATGAAGTCCTGAATCCTACAGATAACCCAAGCAATATCATCCAACTAAAAGGTAAAGGTCTACATCAAACACTGGTAATAGCTCCATAAAATTATGTATGGAAACAGTAAAAATCAAACTTCTTAATAAAATGACTCTATGAAGCCTTGCAAAAGCCACTTAGAAATAAATGAAGAACAAAATTTTAAGTTACACGGGGTTTGTAACAGTATACTCCTGCATTATTCAACTGAAAATGGTGAAATCAAATCTGACACAGGTTTTCTTTGTGCAATGCCTTACATGAAATTTTACTTTAATCCATGAAATACTTCAAAAGTTACTGAGCTAAAAGAAAACTGGTAGAAAAAACCCAAAATGAAATGGGACCTATTATGCAAGTAAGCCTTTGGTTTTTAAGAAAGTATGTGAAACTCCTTTTAGGTCATCCTATGTTTAGCATTACTAATGTCACTCAATGCTACATGCAATCCTTAAACAGACAAGTTCAGGCTTCTGTGCATTTAATATTGAAATTTCAAGAGAAAACATAACATAACACTATGATGGTACTAGCAACTGCCTCACTTGACCTCAGCATTAAGAGGTTAGTGTTATGATTGGTTGGCCTGTCGTCAGGATAATGTGACTGGTTGAGACATGTCTATGGCATGATACACCAGTATTAGACATCACTATAAACTGCCACACTGCAGACATGGTAGAAATATGACAAATGTTTATAAAGCTATGTTAAAAATTCCAAATCACACACACACACACATTTCCAGTCTATCTTACTTTGAGAGTTATGTATCCTTACCACTTCTGCCTGCATCTTGGAGCTGAATTTTCAGCAACTCCATGGGTGTAGTTATTATTATCTGACACATCCCTGCTCCTGCACCAGCAAGCAGTTCTCTCGGGACAGTTAATGTGTTACTGCAGATTAAAACAAACAATTAATCTCATCAAAGTACAATACCTGAAAATATGCCCAATACATCAAAAGGACCTGCATACATATAAAATCTTATCCCAAAATTATTTTTTATATGGAATATCACTTTATAAAATTTTTTATGTTATGGTGTTCTTAAGTGAGGTGTCAGTTTCTGGCATTTTTCTAAAATGGAATTTTAATCCAGTGAAGATTACATAACAGACTTGTTTAAAGATTTATAATTTTAATATCAGTCAGACAATATGTACCACTCACCTCAAGATACTTGACGTAAAAATGCTATATTACCAATGCTACAAAGGAATTGATTTTTTTAATCTTTTTAAATTAAACTAGAGATTTATGAGTATAGAACAACACTGCCATTAATATATGAGAGGCTCTCTACCCTTCATAACATGAATGAATGTATTAGGTTATAACAACAAATCAGTATAAAAATGGCATTATGGTGCCCATTAACAGTAGCTCTATAATGGTAAATAAAAAACAATGGTGCAAAAACTTTAGGAATATAAACCCTTCTAAATATATTTGAAATAAGAAAAGATAAGGGGCAAATGACAAAGATGCAAACATTCTGTAAATGGTACATAAAATAAAAGTTAAAGATTAGACATATCAAATACTAAAAATATAGAGTCAAACTTTTTCAGATATAAACCACATTCCCTCAAAAAGTCCAAGGATGTTTCAGGTGGTATAAAATTGTACAGTTTCTTGCAGTGTGTATGGAGATAGACTTAACAAGTATGTAATCATTGACAGTGCACATTGGTAGGAAATGTACTCAAGTCATGGTTGAACCATTAGAAGTAAAATATTTGTGTCCTATATGTGACTGGAACAATAACAACTCATTTCTTTTATTTCTTTTATATGATAAATGCCACTCTCCAATGGTGAGTTTGACATAGTAAAAAGAATGAATTTTTATTTTGCATATTCTGTCAAGCATGTAGAACATGCTGATTTAAGTCTGTATATAGAATCATTCATTTAAAAATGACAGACTACAAGGCAGCTTTGGCTGATTTGTCTGAGCTTGATACTAGGCAGTCAACAGTACAGAATACTTTTTCATAATAAAATTATAAAATTGATGAAATCTTTATTTAAAATTATCAAGAAAATATGAACAATGTAACTGCCTCCCTTTTATTTTTTCCTTCTCGACTCAGTTTTCTTTCATATGAATTTATATTACACAGCAATATCTTGCATCTGGGATATGCTGACAGATGCATGGGTGTGTGGGTTGATGGGATATGCTGACAGATGCATGGGTGTATGGGCTGGTTGAAACAATATGTGTACGGGTAAACCCATTATAATGCAATTTGTTATAATGCAATTCTGCCTATAACATAATGGCAGCATGGCTCCCATTTTTAATTTAAGGTCACAGACTTTTTAAAATCCTAAATACATACTCTTGGAAAAGACAATTATTCGTACCCCTAGCAGATTTTTAATCCCAGCAATTTGTTTAATGTTGCCTTAACTTCAATGTTCACCATTTCCACCATATTGGCATGTATACAAATCAAAACTGAAGTATATTTGATGTCTGATGAAACCTGGCGAACAAAACAAACAATGTATGATCAAGAGGTAAGTTAAAACTGATGACATTCAAATTTCAATGCAAATTTTCTACGGGGAAGTTTTCTGAAAAGTTTTTTAATATGGTACCGCTTATATTGCGATGTTTTTTTTTAAACCAAGCATTGCATTATAATGGGTTTTAACTGTATATATATATATATATATATATATATATATATATATATATATATATATATATATATATATATATTTTAAAGATGAGTTTCACTAAAGAGAGGCTTCCTAGCTTACAGTATCTTCATATAATATCCCTAATCTCCGTACAGGACAAAGATCTGACTGCCTTAGCTAACTGGAGATCAGCCAGTTTACTGCATGCAAGCACAAGAAAGGCTACTGTCAACAGAAGGAAAGAAAACTGTCTGAAGGACGATTCATGCAAACCACCAAAGTCTGATTAAAATCTGATACAAAGGTCAAACTAGTTGGTTATTATCATTATTTGTTTGGTAAAAGCACCATGCCAAAACGAACACCAAGAGAATGTGTGAAAAGATTTTCAATATTTTTATTGTGGCAGCCATATCTGATGTTTGTAGGGCACCACTTTCATTTAGGACCAACTAGAAATTGCAAGTTCTTTGGT